AAAAGAAACATGTCTTTACTTCGTGAAGACAAAATGGCGACGGAAAAAAAAAATAGAGGGTTGCTGTAGCAGAGTTGGTGGCCAAATTTTCGCCAAGTTACCATAATCCAAAGATCAACCATGTTTAGGAACTACTCTAATATGCGCCCACAAGGCGCCAAATGTCTACATTAAGACACAATAACACGCCAAATAAATACTAATTCAGAAGTCAAACAACAAAAATCAGCGTTATATTTACCAAATTTTCACAGGACCGCATTTTGCGGTTTTGCAGCTGAAGATGGTGGTTCGGTAAAACCATCGAAACTAGTCCTGTGAAAATTTGGTAAATATAACGCTGATTTTTGTTGTTTGACTTCTGAAATGTCTACATTTCGAACTTTAAGCCTAAAATGTCTCCAAAAACACGGTTTTCGCGAATGCAAAAACCACGTTTTGAACACACAATTTAAGCTAAAAATCCGAAACAAAAACAAAAAATTTAGATAGCAAAACCGTGAAGTTTCTAACCAAAATTATTTTACAAGAGTCCATGTACACAACGATATGTTTTAATTTAAAAAAACATGTACGAATGGTACAATCTAAGCAACGAACGAATTTACGAACTACACACACCTCGCTTTAATAAATTAACATAACAATAAATTTCAAAGAATACCATGTACACAGCATCCTGTTTCAACTTAAAAAAACATCTACGAATTGCACAATTTAGGCAACAAACGAATTTACGATACGCGCACCTCACTTTATAAATTAACATAACAACAATAATTTCAAAAGAATACCATGTATACAGCGTTCTGTTTCAACTTTAAAAAACATCTACGAATTGCACAATTCAGATGGTACACACTAATCAACAAAATAACTAAAATAAATTTCAAACAATTCAAAAAACAACAATAACGACAGAAATTCATACAAAAAAACAATGAACATTACATTCTACAAAATAAGAACAAGAATAAAATAAAATGCACTTACCATTAATGCTTTTCGAAAAGCAGATATACCAATTTCTTACCGCCTTTAACATGCCGCCATGTAATCACTAGTATCGTATTTATAGACAGCCAGACACACTATCCAGAAAATTCATACTATGGTTCACAAATAATAAAATAACAAATATCACAATCCCTACTTCTATCACGCACAACCACTAAAACTAATCTCCATACCTTCTTTCCACACCTCCAAATACCCATTGCCCCTCAACAGGATGACCACGACGATATTTCCTTATGCCGAACTTCAATTCAACAACTTTCACCATTAAATCTTTTTCCCCTAGCTTCTCAGACACAAAGCATGACGGGAACCAACAAACTCCAGCGAAAGACTTTTCAACGTCAACAGGGTTGCCATACAACACGCAATCGCGCCAAAAACCAGCGCAGAACACATATCGCCACATTTGGTGAAATTAGGGCGTATATCAGAGTTGTAATGATTTACAGAGTTCTCTGCAGCAGTTCTTCCAAATTATTTAATGTGCAATCAGAATAACAAAGATTAAAGTAAATAAAAAAAATTTCAAAGAAAACTAATTTGTTCAGTTCATGATGTGCATAAAAGGTATTGCAATATTTCCCAAAATATTAGATTATTTTATTTCAAAAGATAAAACTATGAATTTAAAAAAATTAAGCTGATATGGTTTTAAACAGTAAAAATTTTGATTTCTTGCAAAATATTTACATATTTTTATATTTTAAAATAATTATGAAATGCTAAATCTGAAGAAAATTTAAGCTATTTCACAATGATTGCTAAACATTTATGAAACACAAAAATCAAAGAAAAACTTACAGCTTTACTATAATTTTTAAAACTTAATTCATATTATTCACATTTTTTATAATGGCATAAAATCATGGTGGTCATGTTTCTATTAACGAAATTTTTTGTACGTAAAGGCAATTCATTATATCATGCCTCTTTGGGCAGAGATTGCATAGATGAAGGAAATATTCTATAATTTCTCTTTACAGGTACTCTTTGGTTATCAGGACCATATTTAGATATGTATGCATTATGTACATTAGTATATATGTGTGTGTGTACATAGACACATGCATATATATATATACTTTTCTGAAACTGCGGCTAATCTTTGGAATATGGTAACAGGTAGTTAGGCAACATTTTAGTAAGGCGATAAAGGTTACTAGCTAGGACTTTAGCAGTGTACATGGATAAAGTCAAGAGTGTGCACAATGCCATTTTTGTAATTCTGGGATGTTTTTTTAAGTGAAAACAGGTAGACCTGTATGTGGAATTATTAAAAATTGGCGGCAAACAATTTGCGATTCTGCACTTTCTCCCAATTTCACACCTAATCTTCGTTATGATTAAGCACTTTTGTTCCATAAAAGTTCTAGCATAAGCGTAATTCGGCTAGCAGGTTGTTGGGGAAAAAAATGTTGAGTAAAAAAAAACCTTTACTTCCTGAAAACAAAATGGTGTTCAAACAAAAATTAGCAGGTTACTGTAGCAGGGTTGGTCGCCACATTTTCGCCAAAAAATCGCCAAGTTACCATAATCCAAAGATTAAATGAAACTGCTTTCAATAACAGAAGAGTATCCTCTTTTCAATGCAATATTACCTTCTGATATAACACGAAATTAAGATAACAAATACAACTTCTATGCCAAATATCATTTGGAACTGAATTCAAATATAAAAGGTAAGTAGTCAGGCATATTTTAATGTGCTTTACCTGGTTTCTTTAGAGGAAAAGTATCTTTAGTTAAATTAAGCCTTTTCAATTTGAAACCAACTATACCCAAAATAATCTGATTAAGATGTCTATTCAATTCTTTAAAAAGAAATTTTACATTATTATAACCAATTGGCAGACTGAGGACACTAATAAGCAATGCAAATTTGCATGGCTATTTTTGTGGAGTTTAAAGCATTTAGACAATTATGCCAAAAAAAATTTTCATGAACAATACATATATCTGAAAAATTTCAGATTTTTTCTATTCATCTAAAATGTTAAGATTTTTTCCTCCATACTTAAATAACTAGTGCTACTTGAATTTATGTGATTGCTACTCGAAACTAATGCTACTCGAATTTATGTGAAAAATGCTCTGCACAATAATTTATTCTAAAACCCATTCAATACTTTTAACCTTAAGAATTACATCTTAGACTCCAAAAATTGCAATAAAAACTATCAGTTTTACAGCAAAATAATTCTTTTTCCTAAATTTGAAAATGTGCCACTTAATGCAGAAAATCCATGCATATGTAATACACCTTCATTTAATTAATATTAATTGAAACAATCTTGAATAATGGCACTGATTAACCGAATCCGATTGAATCTTTTGTGGAAACATTAAAAATTTTTCTAGGATAAAATTATTGCTCTATTTATAATACACCAGAAATACAAACAAAATTTTAAGATCTCATTATTTAAAAAAAAAAAATTCAACTAGCTTTTTATGATAAAAGTAAATTACACTTCAAACGAAATGGCAATAAACTCATGTACTCCTTATTTCATTAATATCTCAATAAATATAAGAAAATTTATCATTGACTAGGTTATTTTCCTCTTTTCATGATGACACAAACCAATAAAAATGAAAAATTTCACTGAATTATCTTAATTTATAAATATGTATAAATCCCGATTATTCTGAATTATACTGTAGGTTCAATAATTGGAGTACAGATCTGGCTTGTATTTAGTACACACTAAGAAAACCACAAAACAAATAATAAATCATCAAATTCTTTTTTTTTTTTTTTTTTCCTTAAAGCAAAAACTGTTAAATATTAGGGGAAAGTGCAGAATCATCCACTGCTTGGCATGTTTTTAAGAATTGCACATACTCGGTATCCATGTACACATCAACCTATTTTCACTTAAAAAGTCAAACAAAATTCACAAAAATCCAATTCTTCTTACTCTTGTAAAAAGCGCCTAACACGAAACAAATAAGTGGGCGATTCTGCACTTTAACAGAATATTATTTACTGACAAATTGGGTAACTGCCTGTTCATGGAAACAAAATTGTCACTTCTAAAGCTTAATAAATGTCTATGACAGTGATTCTCAACCATTTGTATCCCAGGTACCCCTTCTACCATTCATAACTCATCCACTCTTCTTCCCCAAACTTGAAATATATATACATTTATTTAGATTTAGATTATTTTCAGACACCATTTATAACTTAAAACAAAATGACTAGAAATATCAGAACTTGAATAAAAAGTTTTTATATTCATAAATTAAAACTAAATAAAATAACTAACTAAATAACTAAATAAACTGCTAAATAAAAGTCTGCATTCCTCCCCCCTGAAACTATGAAATTTCTCCCTGGAGAACCCGATGTATGATCAAGATGTGTAAATTATGACATTTTACACCAGGCAATACGCATGATATCTTGAAATGTATGTACTATTAAAACTGCAGTTCTTTCTTATTACATTTTCATTTAAGATACAAGAGGCTTTAATTCAATAATCTACAGATGGCTGAGCAAGGAAAATAAACATACCGATTTTATGTGATGTATGCTGAAACTTCTGGGCATCTTTGTAAAATTAACAAGAAACAGCCAAAACGAATAAACATTTACGCCTAATGATAAGAATAAGCTTCTGAATTAAAATTCTTTAAAATAATTACTTTAAATAAATAATAAATGCATTATATAGCCAAATGAACAATCCCAGCTCAAAAACTACAATCAGTGTCAAATTGTGATTTTCCTCATTGTACACTTAATGGAAGATTTATGCTACAACAAATACAATAGAAAGCTTTTTGTTGAAACTTATATAAGTAAGAAAAATATTTCACAGCACTGATACACAGAAAAAAACAAATGAATTAAGCTTATTTTAGTAACTTGGCAATAACGCAATACCAAATAGGCTTAACAACTCATTATTTTAATACTGCATAGTAATATTTATAGTTAATATGGTGCAAAATAAATCACAAAAGGATACTTGTTGCACAGCTCTTTGAGTTGCTGTATCTGGAGACTGTGATTCTTTAAGAAGTTTTAAAATTTCTCGTAAACCCTCTTCTTGAGGCTGCCATGCCAGTGCCATGTTCTCTCGCATTTTGCAATACACCAGCACCGGCTAAGAAGTCTTGTTCTGCGGTGCGCACAAAAAAATGGTCACACGCACTATTAGAAATAATTGTATATAATACACAAAAACTTCAAACTCAATTTCTAAATTTCAAATGTTTTGTATCACAATGTGAAACAACTTTCGCTACATCAGCACACATCTACGCTACAGCAACAACGTATCCTCGAATTATTTCACTTCTTCTTCTTCTGTCTACATGTTCTGAGTAAGGTACTTCTGGGATCATTCAAAATATTTACTTATGTTTTTAAATACTTGTTAATAAGAGCTGAATACTAACGTAAAATATTCTTTGATTATTTTACTTATTTGTTATTGCTTAGTTTCATATTTTAAAATTTTACTTTTTGATTGAAAAAGGAGTAATTCAGACTCCTTTTTAATTTCTTCAGAATGAAAATAATAAACATCTAAAATTCTTAACTTTTTTTAAAATTTAGAAATTTTCCCACTGTTTAGTACTGTCGTGCGCAAGCAATGGTATGCCCCTAAGGGGCGAATTCAAGTGCAACGCTTGTCATGGTAATCGCACTTGCATTGGTCATGGTAATCACACAAATTTGAATTTTAAATTAAACTTACTATTAGAAGAATTAAAACCAAATGCTGTAATTTAAAAATGGGAAAAAAATGTGGTTTATATTTGAAAAAGCAAGGATTTTTGTCTGAAAAGTAAAATATATTTTACACACACCTGTTGCTCTAGATTACTTTGGAGGGAATTTTCTATAGGATAAAGTAAATAAAGTTGTACACATTAAATACATGTTGTACACATTAAAAGAAATATACATGTCTGTATATTTCTTTCGTTTTCAGGACTGGAACAATTCGTTACACCACACTACAACGCATTAAACACTTGACCATAAGCTCAGAGAAATCATGGGAACTGATATTTTTTGTTTACATCGACACGCAGTCTCATTTGGATATTGATGTAGTTTATCGGACAAGCTCTCCTGGCACGAGAGCAAACCAGCTGCCCATTGCAATTTTGACGTCATCAGTTACCAGAGCAGTAAAGCGTTGCACTTGAATTCGACTTTAGCAGACGATAGCAGGAACGCCTCTTGCGAGCTAACATTTGCAATTTATCAGAGCGTTGCACATGAATTCGCCCCCAAGTTTTGGCAACAAAAAAAAATTGTAAACACTACTAATGTGTTCGAAACACGGAATATATTATTCGAATTGAGTTGGAGCATAAGGTGCCAAAGGGAAGCCAAGCTTCAAGAAGAAGAATATTCGAAATATTGAATGATGCCTGTAAACATTTAATTAGTGTGGTTGACCCTGATGTGCTATTTGTTTTAAGCATAAGTTGAAAATCACTTTTTATATGGTAGTTCAATATGAAAGTATAGTTTATAAAAATTAAGAAATAATTATCTGCATTTTTATTGCCAAAAATGTACTGATGATTCTTAATCACACACTAATGTTTCTGTAATGGAATGTTAAAAATTAGGCCAATACTTTTAAATGCTAACTAATTCTTAAACAGATGATCTTAAAAACACGTAACTTCAATCAATCAATCAATACAAGTATCGCGGGCTGTCGCTAATATGTGCGATGTTGCCGGCTGAATGATAAATTTGCTTTAAAGGCAAGTGACTTTATACCTAACTTCAGATGTGATGAAAAGTAGTTAACATGTGATGTATAGAGCTGCCAAACAACCCAGTAAACTAGATCGTTAATGCCATTTAATTCTTAAACATAAATTTGAGTATTAAATGGTAACTACTTCTTAAACATATATTGATATTGAAAACACGTAAACTTCAGATATGATCAAAATTAGTATTATGTGTCTTATATAGAGCTTCGAGCAATCCAGTGTCCCGTGTTGTTTGGTATTATGTCCCAGTTTTGTCCACATTTTCCTTTTTCAGACAAAAAAAAAAGTCTAGTAGGAGATGAGATGGATTCTTCGTTCCGAACTTTTAGTTTTGAAAAATTGTCCCAAATTTTGCCCTTGGTGGAAATTACTGTCTCCAAGTGTCTCTCTGCTCATCTGTGAGAATGGTGACTTTCTTATGCATAGTTTGTGGTCTGACTGTCTTAAGACACTTTTCTCGCTATGATTTTAAACTATTTTGGCCTCTTCCAGATAGGAATTTAGATGGGTTCTCTTGCTTTCATGAAGGGTATTGTAAGTCTCTCTCTAGAAGGTTTTGTTACCTTTTATTTCATATTCAGTAGTGACAACACTTGAATATATGTGCTTTGAAGCTTAGAATTCATAATATTCTCTCAGTTTTTATGAAATGTATTGTGAGTTGAATATCTGGAAGTGCTTGTGACCTTTTATTTCATATTTGGTAGTGCCAGCACCTAGAATATGTGTGCATTGATTTCAGCTGTGTGCTCTGAAGTTTAAGACGTGGTAACATCCCATGTATTATGCGAATAATCTTGAGGTATTTCAGAAGGAATATGTGAGTAATCAAAGAAAATTTCATAATCCTCCAATTATATTCCAGAATATATATGAAATATCCTAGTGTATGCCTGTTTTCATGTATTAAAAATATCCAAAGTATATTCTTACCATTCTGCTCATTGCTAAAGTCGCAAAGCGTAGTGGAATAGTAGCGCCATCTTGCGATCAGTAGAAATTTCACCAAAGCCACCGAAAACACAAAAGAATATTTTCACACTGGCAGGCCTTGAGTATAAGTTGGCCTTGCTTTATAGCAAACAAGATCATCTTATGCCTGCCAGTCAGTGCAGTTTTTAATGAATTGTCTTTGTATGCTACATTAATTATATTGTATTGTGCAGTGACAGTTTAAGAAAAGAGCAAGAGTCAAAGCATGGTTTGTTTGAATAAACATGACTTTTGCGCATCATGAAATCAAAAAAATAAATAAATAAATAAGTTCAACATTTCTAATCTGTTAACATAAGTTTTACAAGTGAATAAAATGTGCACATGTGTAATGAAATGTCTCCCATATAAAAATTTAAGGAAAGAATGAGCGATTTCCGTTCATTAAATGCATCATTTCCACTCAGAGCATGCCTTTTTCCTATACCATTTGATTAAAAGTACGAAAACACAGATTTTTTTAAACTCTGGTTTCAGAACTATAAATTCTGCATATTTTTTTAAATATATTACACACACATTTCAAAGTATATCATTCTATATAATATAGTATCCATAAGAAGTTATTTCAGATGTATTATATAAATATCATAATTTTATTTAGAAGTTTAGAGAAATAATTTCCTGAAATAATCTTTTTAACTAGTATGTAATATTTATCCTAAACAAAAAGAACAAATATTCAGTATGTTTTTTTTTTTTTTAATGCACAAGAGTTACTTTTATCAAAACTTGTTAAACTTTTATTAACTATCTGTAAGCAAAAATTAGCATAGTGTGTTTTTACATCATTAAAATTAAGGTAACATGATGAGTAAACTTAAGGAAAAGTTGATAATCACTTGCAAAATGAAGATTCAGCTTCAAAATAATCTTTATCTCATTGTTTTATGATTTGTGTATTAACACTCGTTCTCAAGACTGTTTTTCCTGGCTCTTGTATTTCAGTAAATGAACACAGCAATGATTTAGCTTGAAGTTTAAAAAACATAACAAATCTAGGACATCTAGTACAATCATATTATTGTAAATGTATGTGTAGATTTGTTTGTATTTTGCTAAAGCCAGGTGAACCAATATTTTCAAAGATGTAGTCAGTGAAACTTCCAAGTAAATCATAATTAAATTCCCTTGTGTACAGCATTTACATTTTCAGTTTGCATTTATACTGATGAGCCAAAACATTATGACCATCCCCACATTTTTTAATGAATTTTTATAGATGACATGGAGGGCACGTGATTAAGTAAGAATGGTATTTTAACTGCTGCTGGAGAAGGTAAGGAATCATTCTTGCATTTACTTTTGTCAGGGAAACTGGTTTGGTATATTCAACTTAAAATTCACCAAAATACCAAGCAACGAACGCATTCGCCGGATTAACTTAGCAAAACCCCAAAAGGAGTTAACAACATAAACAGGCAACAGTCTGAAATTAGTATTATTGATCAAAGTGTATGATTTCTGATATAATTAGGAATATCATGTAAAGAATGGGAATCTTTTCTTTTTTTTTTTTTTTTTTCCCTTTTGTAAGGAGATTTTTTTGCTTTGATTTCAACATTTGGTTGAAATGCAAATTAAATAAATATTTACAAAATGAGAATATTGGAAGTTATGAGATTTCAAGATTCAGTTCGAAATCCATTCTGTGTCATTCCTTAAAAGGTGATCTGAAACCACTTCGAGGAGTTAAAATGATTATAGAAAAGAGTTTCTGATTCTTCATTCTTTATTCCCATTATAAATTTTCTCGTAGTTTTAGAACATTCTTCTCTCCGTAGTGATGATTTGCTTCAAGAAAATTTTCTGAGGATAAATTACTTAGTCTTAAAACCATGCGAAAATCTTGCCATCACCAATATAATTCCTTCATTTACTGAGAAAAACCTGCTGTTATAAGTATGGTACTTTTTCTGATCTTTATGAATTTGAATGCTCAAAGCTATCTAAATAAAGAATGCTATGTGAATATCAGGGTATGAGTAATATATGAAAGGGTAATATTTTTAGAATTCCCCATGAGCGTTTTTCTTAGGGCAGAAGAGAAAAAGCTTGCTACATCGCATTCCCGGAAATAGAGTATGAAAACATACTAGACAGTCCGGTTACCAAACAATAGAGTTTATTGATCCTGTTGTAAAAGTGACAGTTAAAATTGTTGTTAGCGCCTTCAGAAGGCATCAAATACTTAAAGTTCCGCTGCTATAAATTTCAGACGCAATTTGTTCTTTAAAATTTCAAAATATTATTTTTTAAGTATTTTCGGTACTTATATTAATATTGATAAAATAATATAGAAGCACAACTAGCTATGATGTACTCAATTGCATTTTGATTTCTCACATATAGTTAACACTTGTCTACACGTTTCTAAGTTTCACATAAGTAAGTTTCACCATAGTCTTTTCCGAATGTTATTTTCTTTTCGTTGTGTTTTTGCTTTTCTTTTTTTAAATTTCATTATTATTATTAAGTTCCAATCTGAGTTTATTCAGTATTAGGAGAGTAGCTACAGGAGCATTCATTATA